CCCTGGTGCCCCGAATACAAGAATTTAAGGATGCTACTAGATTGGCATCTAGGTCCCACCCGTTTACTGTTGAAATAGCTAAGTGCAGCCGCCGCTTCTACTCCAGCACTTTCTTTTCTTGCACTTCCCGCCCGTGGAACTACGTTCCGTTTACTTGCTTCCCTGAAAATTACAATCTTCAAAATTAAATACAACATCAATCGCCATCTTCTTAAATCCCGTTCATAGTTGTCCTTTCCTCAATCATCTCTATACTCAGTCTTTTCACTCCCCGTAACACCCTGCGTACTAGTGGAATTCCCGCCTTGCTTGGGGTGAAATGATTAAAAAAAAAAGGAAGCTTTTTACGCGATACGCAAACATTTTATCATTAAAACCCCAGTTTACGAAGAACGAGTGCCTGGAGAGAATATTGGACCTCAAACTCACACCCGACCTCAAGTGGAACTCGTACATACGATCCATTGCTAAAGATGCAGGTAAAATGGTCCGATCCCTGTAGCACTCCAGTAAGTACCTGAATCCTCATACTATCCTCTATCTTTATAAAATCCAGATCAGGTCGTAAATGGAGTAATGTTGCCATATTTTGGCGGGAGCTGCCCAGTCCTCACTTTGCAGTCTTGAGATTTTGTTGGAGAAGAATTATTTTCCACCCTCCAAACTCTCTCTAATACATAAGGCGGGATATATGAGTCTCTCTGACTGCTTTCTGGAACGAACTATATTTCTTGGTTCCGCTAGGTCTAACCTTTATAACTAGGACCCGCCATGTCACTTACATACTAGCAAACCAACCACATTCCTTTCGTATTCCATTAATGATAAGTAAGTTTCACTTGTGCAGCTTTTTCCCGTGAACCACTGCTCTGTGGAACCGACTCCCAAGGGGATGTTTCCCTGATCACTAAAATCTTAACCTGTCCAAGTCTAGGGATAACCGTTATCTTCGCCTTCTATCAGTACACACTACCCCTTAACGTAACCTTCTATGTCGGTGGGTTCATTGAAGCTTGTACATTTATTGAAAACCTTACTGTAGAAAAGCAACAAAAAATACTCCTTGACCATTCGATTGCTATGCTATGGCAACACGACACCTACAATTGTCCGCGTAATACTGAAATAAAACCATATGAGATCCTAAATAATTCAAGCCGGACTAAACCAGGCTCGATAAATATCAATCAAATACGACCGATAGGGTAACAAGCAAACAATAAAATCAAAGAAATTAATATATATATATATATATATATATATATATATATATATATAGAGAGAGAGAGAGAGAGAGAGAGAGAGAGATTTTTAATTATTCATGTATAATACGAACTCCTAACTATCTTGTACATAATACGCATAGACGTTTATTTACAATTTGTAGCAGCTAAAATAAGTTTAATATCTATGCAAATATTGTTTTTTAAGCAAAAGTATAGATTGGTAAATTATTTAACTCTTTGTTATACATTAGTTAATTTGAACCATAGATATTCTTGGTCAAACCATACCCAGAAAAAATGTTAATATTTTGTTCAACACACAATCTTAATTTCTCGACTTGAAAATCTGAAAGAGCGTATTATGTACGAATAATTACTGTGTGTGTGTGCCCTCGCGTGTGCGTAGTGTATATGTGTGATATCAGAAAATTATATTATGTTAAAGATAAATGTTAAACATCTTATTTTATTAAAAATTTTAAAAAATTAATTCCTTACAAATTTTAGATATTTGTCACAATGTTAAACATGCTATTTTATTTTAAAATTCAATGCTTTATTTTAGTCCAAATTTTAAATAAATATGAATTTTGTTGATAGGATAAGAAAACAATTAGGAAACCTCTACAAATGTAATAGGTTTCGCTTTTATTAAAGCTTCAGCGGAGAATAATTCTTACGAAGTTAACATTATTTTGATTTTATTAAAAAGTTAAAAATTTCATTTCATTAGAAAGATTTTATTTTTATTTTTAAGTTTATTATTTTATTACAGAATTAAATATTTATTTTCATAGAATGTTAAATGTTTTATTAGAAAGCATTCAACTTAAAAATATAAAATTATTTTAAAAATAACGTGTGGTTATCCTTCAACTCTCCAAATTTAAAATCAATAACTTTCTGACAAAACTTGCTTACAATTAAAAAGATAGTAAAAGACATAATAAATCATACGCAATGTACTATATATATATATATATATATATATATATATATATATATATATATATGAGTGTGTGGGGGTGTAAATATTCTCAGATGGAGTATATCTGTAGAGGAGACAAAATGAATAAAAAGCGACAAAAGGAAAAGCTATTCTTAGTCGATGCGTAATCTCACCTTTCCTGAAAGAATTACTACTTTCCCAAGCCAACATCCTGAAAGGACGCGGCACATAATAAAGTCAAGCCAATATACACTACCAGAAATATGTTGAAAAGTCAAAAGAAAATGATTAAATTTATCACCTAATGTTTTTGAAGATGTACAGCAAATATGTCCATCTCATAGCATAACAATCTAATCACAATCTAAATAATATTCATTTAAAAAAAATAATTTTGAATATTATTCGCTCATTTTTTTCTTTTTGCTAGACTTTGAATTATCACACTTTGTCTTCTCTACATGGCTTTGACTGACCTTTCAACCACCTAATGGACATTCATGAACGCTCTTAAATTAAAAAAAAGTCTTGATAAACCAATGACATACTCGCCATTGTATATAAATACGTGCAGCAAATAAATCCTACATTGTCTTGATAAGGACCCTCAGAGGACGAAACGCGTCGGTTAAGAATAATTTTTCCTCTTGTCTCTTTTTATTCATATATATATATATATATATGTGTGTGTGTGTGTGTGTGTGTGTGTGCGTGTGTATATAATATATATATATATATATATATATCGATAGATAGATTAAAAATAGTTTTAACGTATTTATGGGTAAGTTCTCACTATCAGTGATAGAGTGTATGTATGTAAATATAAAAGTGGGTACTAAGGTCAACAGCCAGCGGCGACAGTCTGTTTCCTTCATGAACGCAATCTTCAGGCCATGTGTTTTGGTTCGACTACTTGTATATGCATTATGGTGTTATGGTCTGTTGTATTATCCGAATAGTTATTGGATGGTTGGGAACCGTTATGTTTCAAATTATTCTAGAGGCTATTGAGTAGAAATCATTCTGGATCTGAATGCGGTTATTTGTAACTATTTTATAGTGTTTTTGTTAACTTTTTACTAATTATTTATTATGTAATTATTTATTGTTGATTCTTATGATTACATTTACTTGTGCATTCGTAGTTGGTTAATTGATTTAAACAAATGAACAAACTACGAATGCACACATAAATACAAGTAAATGTAATAATAATAATAATCAACCAAAAAATTTAGTAAGTTAAGTGTCATGCATGATATACGTTTAGGCGATCATGTATCTTTCAATTCCCGCAATAGAATGACATTTCTTTCTGCGGTACACCAAATGCCAAACAATACTATCCTGCTATTCACCACATATCTGAGAGAGAAAAAATGGATTCATACCTTTCCAAGGGGATTTGCACGTTAGTGAATATAAAGAACTCGATTGGAATTCGAACCCTTCTCTCCGTTATCCCTTATATCACAAATGAGTAAGAAGTTAACAAACAGCACTGTTGAATAGCTACAAATAATTCAGTTCATAACCATACCGATAAACTAATTATTTTCCCCAAAAGGGTTATACGAATAAAGAGTGCTCAATGCAATTTTAAATAAGAAAGATACAGAACAATCTAAGACATAAAATTTCTGAGAAAAACTAACCTTTCCGCTACCACGGTTTCACCACGTTCGTTTTTTCAGCCAGTAAGCAGTATTCATATAGAAATTCTAGCAAGTGATGAAACCGTGGTTATTCTACGAAATGTGAAATATATATATATATATACATATATATATATATATGATAAAATATAGTTTTAAGATATGCTATATCTATGGGTTAAAGTGTTCAATATCAGGAGTAGAGGTATGTTCATATAAAAGTGGACATTAAAGTCAACACCCAGAGGTGACAGTCTGTTTCATGCTTGAACGCAATCGTCAAGTCATACATACACTTTATGTACACTTGTATATTTATATCTTTCATCTCTCTCTCCAATATATATATATATATATATATATATATATATATATATATATATATATATATATATATGTGTGTGTGTGTGTGTGTGTGTGTGAATGATATTGAAGTGATATATGTCAGAAAGTTGGGTAATTGAATCACAAAGTTGAAACATTTAGACGACAAAACGCGTCACATAGAATTTTCTATTTTATCATTTTATTTACCCATACATAAATGTATACATAGTTCTAATCAATAAAACGAACGAGGAACATTTTGTGATTTTTAGCTCAGTTTTTCTCATGTCCTTAGAGTAGTAATCACTACGACAGATTTCTAGACACTCTTCAAAGAATAGCAAAAAAAAAAAAACTTTCACAAAATATTTTTGTAGTAAAAGTATTCAATGGAATATATAAATAATGGGTTACTAAATAAATATAATAATATATATATATATATATATATATATATATATATATATATATATATATATGATTTATATATGATTTATATATGATTTCGTACCAAAGTAAATTCTTTTGCTACAATCTTCAAAGTAAATAAAAAGAAGAAAAATTCATTTGATGTCTAAGTTTGGTTCACTTGTTGACATCAGACGTTTTGTTAATTTATTTAGCGCGATGAAATTATGCTTGAGTGATTATTATAACATTTATTCAACTCTAATTGGAGAACAACAGTATACAGCTTTTTGCGAAAGTTGGGATACAAGTCACATATTAAAGTATCTATTTCTACGCGCGCATGCCCATGTGTGAATGCTTTTAAATAAACAATAAGAATAAATGAGTTAAACAAACCACTGAAGAACATTCTGGTTGCTCGGACAAAATATGTCAGAAGGAAGAGAGACCCTATTTTCAAAGCACCATGAATCTATCTATCATCTATCAATATCTATCTATCTATTCATCGCATCTATCTATCCCTATCTATCTTCCTATCAATCATTCATCTATCTATTTATATCTATCTATCATCTATCTATCTATCCCAATCTCTTCCTATTCATCTATCTATCTATCTATCTATCTATCTATCTATATATATATCTCTTCATATCATCTATCTATCTATCTATCTATCTATATCTATCTATCTATCTATCTATCCTTTTTATACATTCATATATCTGCCATAAAGTTTGTTTGCGTATGTTTTCTTCTATCCTCGTCGATACATACATACATACATATATATATATATATATATATATATATATATATATATATATATATATATATAAAGATTTGATGAATGTGTTTGTCACGACAAGTTTGAAATCGTAAGAAAACATATTATTAATCCTCGTTTGTACGAAAAATTACTCCGCGCATGAACATGGCTAAAATATTAGCCCAAAACTCTCGGGAATGCAAGAAAAATTAAATAAAACTCACATGATATTCTTTTTTCCATCATTTTATATGAAACATGCATAAAAGGATTACTGCCTAAATATACAATATATATATATAGGGAGATAGGTAGGTAGGCAGGCAGGCAGGTAGTATATAGATATCGAATGAGTTTTGTCCACACATGCACCGTAATTGATTGTGCATAATGCGCACCTCTAAGTTTCGTGAAAGAACTCCTGGAAAAAATGTCGCGTAAAATACGATCGGGCTTTTAAAAATTTCTAGTAGTTAAACCTAAACTAAGATTTATATTGGTTCAATTTGTCCAGTTTCATCTCGACTAAAAATCAGAATTTATCTAAGTATAATAGAGGGAACCAAAGGTTACCTTAATGGTGTCGAATATATAGCAAATCCAGCAGAAGAAAATCAGACAGAATATAGAAAGATGGGATAAAAGGTTTAACTTGCTTGACTCCACAATCATTTTGTAGATTAATGAAAAAAAGTTTCAAATATTATATATATATATATATATATATATATATGTTTCATTTGTGAAGTTTTGCTATTTAGTCACAAAGAAAATTCTTTCAATAACGTCTTGATTTTTAACAACCAAATCATTAAAAAGAAAAAAACCAAACATTAATCCATATTTTTTAATCCTATTGCAGTCTTACGGGTTTTAAATTATCAAAGATGTCAGCTACTGTACAACAGTTGGGAAGCAATATACGGACAAAACAGTGATGATAGTCTGTGATTGTTTACATGGATGATTTTAGCAACGATAAATATGTGCATATAAAACAGTAGAAGCGAAAATCGCACCGCCGCAGCTCATGACGTTACATGATGACTACGCGAGAGTGAATTGAGATAGCGTATGTATGGGGAAGCTGCTCATATAAACCAATGGTTATGTTACCAATTATAGACATTTAAGGATATTATATACACACATAGTATATATGTATAGATTCCATATATATATATATATATATATATATATATATATATATATATATGTGTGTGTGAATGTGTGTGTGTATTTATAAATTTGGGTATGTAATCCTGACAGAGTACAAAATTATTGACATTTGAAAAATGTTCATGAAAGTATGTTTACAAAAATAATATCCTGAAAATGCATTTTATATAGCCTAATATAAATATATCATATTGATAATTAAAAAGATGTTGTGTGTATTAATCAACTCTTGTGTTTTAAATAATTAAATATTTATATTATTTTCCCAAGCTGGTGTTGCTTTAGACTAAAAAGAGAAAGAAATGAGTGACTTTTAAAAAAATCGTTTGCATTTTATATTCTCCGCTTTAAGAGTCCGATAACTTATAACTCTGTCGGGATTAAATACCTAAATTTTTAAAATACTGTCGACACGGAGAACGCATGGATAAAAACAATTTCTTTCATTTATTTTCTACCCATTCTGAAGGATTTGAAGGATCTCAGAATTCTCAGACAGCCTGTAGAATATGTTCTTCGCGGTCAGGCGTACGAGCGGATCTCGGTCTTCCTCGATTCATAGTTTGTAGTGCAATGGATGCTGCCACAGCACCGCGACGATAAACAACATCAAAGGTTGACTCGGCTGCGTACAGTCTGGAATCGCAATCTGATACAGTTGTGCAACCTCGGATCCATTGACATTTGCGCGGCCGTATGTAAAAATTATATCTGCCTGCTCCCGATATGAATATCCTGCCATTGTTAAACGGAATACTTCTCAGTTAACTAACTACTGCACATGTTAAACGTTGAAGACAGACAAGACACAAATGTACACGAAAGACAAATGTAACCTAGTCTTATGGCAATACGGCGCCATCTACCCTAAGCTTTCTTTAAATTTAGACGACTAAACTAATAACTGAAAAACAAATGATTTGCAGACATATTTTTATATGGACTTTTGTCTTTGTTTTGGTATGAGGGACCCACCCC